AGCCTTCACAATATTGTATTCTCTCCGGGGAATCTACCTGGGGAGAGTAGTTCAGATGCAGCAAGAGATATTTCCTGCAAATTCATGTATAAAAGCAAAAATGGAAAGGAAACTGAAACACATGTTCTGTTATAACCTATTATGAGAGATTGGTTAAGAAAATGCTTATATTCATACAGTGAAATAGTTTGCTGATATTTTAAGATATCAGTATATTAATTTAGCAAACATTTATTGAGCACACATACCAGAAACTTGCCACACGCTGAGGCCAGTATGCCACGTAAGAAAGGCACATTCCTGCCCACGTGACACCTCTGGTCTGATGAAGGGGAGAAGACAATAAACGGGTGAATAAGTGATTTCTGGATGTGATTAACATGATGCTGAGTTAGAGAAGAAAGAGAAATTGCTGCCCTGCATGATTTCAACTATGTGAAAAACAAACACACATAGAAAATAGCCAAGAGGAGAATATGCCAGACAAGTTAGAGGTGATTTTTATTTTCTTCTTTATTTGTTTCAGTATTTAATAATCATCCCTCTTTTATAACTAGGAAAAAATAACTTAAAAAGAGAATTGCAGGGCTTCCCTGGTGGCGCAGTGGTTGAGAGTCCACCTGCTGATGCAGGGGACATGGGTTCGTGCCCTGGTCCGGGAAGATCCCACATGCCACGGAGCAGCTGGGCCTGTGAGCCATGGCCACTGAGCCTGCGCGTCTGGAGCCTGTGCTCCGCAACAGGAGAGGCCACAACAGTGAGAGGCCCGCATACCGCAAAAAAAAAAAAAAAAAAAAAAAAAAAAAAAAGAATTGCACTTCAAATTATGCCATATACTGGAATACTTATTTTCATGTCTTATGAAGGCAAAAATAACAGGGACTCCCTTGGTAGAAGTAAAAAGAGCATGTTCACCTTTAAGTACAAAAAAAAAGGAAGAAAATGTCTCTAGAATCACCACTATCTAAACCTTACCCTCAGGTCAAGTTGTCCGCACAGAACCTTTTAGGACAGGGGAGGTCTCCTTCCCTCCTCCTACCGTCTCCCTGCCGCTCTTTCTTCTGTGCTTCTAACTCACCAGCACGGCACCTGGGCCCTCAGAGGCTCTAGTGAATATCTCTTGCAGACGGAGAGACGGAACAGAAATTTAAACCAAGTGTGAGCAACCATCTTCTTCGTCCACTTGTAAATCTTTGGTACAAACGTGGCAGAAGTGCACTGTTTTGTTTTGTTTTTTTTTTTTGCGGTACGCAGGCTTCTCACTGTTGTAGCCTCTCCCATTGCGGAGCACAGGCTCCGGACATGCAGGCTCAGCGGCCACGGCTCACAGGCCTAGCCGCTCCGTGGCATGTGGGATCTTCCCGGACCGGGGCACAAACCCATGTCCCCTGCATCAGCAGGCGGACTCTCAACCACTGTGCCACCAGGGAAGCCCCAAAAGTGCACTTTTAATGCATCTTCGAAGTTTCATCACTTGTCCCCGGCAAGTATTTTTGGCAAATTTCTGAATTTATAAATTGCTTCCAATTTTATCAAATCAGAAAGGTGTCAAGCTCTTAATCATCTGAAAAGAAGCTCAGCTTCTTGTGTCAATAAGAGAAATGCAAAGTGAACTTCTCTGAATTGTCGGATTGTCCATCCAAAGCTGTGAGGAAGCAGGTATGTTGGTATATTCCTGGCAGGGGTGTGATGTGACCAGACCCCGTGGAGGGCAGTTTGGCAATGTCAAAATGACAAATTCACATCCTTTTTGATCCCTGCCCCTCCCCCGCACCATTCTACTTTTAGAAATGTAGACTACAGATACACTTACACACATGTGAAATGATATGCTCCTTAGATTTTATTTAACAAACTCTGTGCAACAGCTCCCATATGACAGTCACTGTTCTAAATCTCTTACCATCATCAAAGTCATTTAATCCCCCAAGCTACTCTATGAAGTAGATATTATTATTATTATCCCCACTTTACAGATGAGGAAACTGAAGAACAGAGAGATTAAGTACTTTGCCCAAGGCCACACAGCTAGTAGGTGGCAGAGCCAGGATGTGCAGCTCCAGGGTCCTTGCTCTGCCAACCTCAACAGGTACCTCCTCGTGTGACCACAGTTATGGCACTGTTTGTAATTGCAAACATTTGGAAACAATTTACGTACCTGTCAAGAGGGGATTGTTAAGTAAGTGACGCGATACCTCTCTGATGCAGTGATGGAAAGATGACCAAGGTGCATTTTAATGGAAAAAGCAAAGTGCAGAAGGTGCTCCCAGATGTGTTGATAAAGGGGACAGGGCAGAGTATGTGCTCGTATTTGCTTGGATAAGAATAAAATACCACCGGAAGGGTGCTCAAGAAACAGGGAACCGGTTGCCATGGAGAGAGATGGTAGAGAGAGATGGGGAAGCAGCTGGAGGGGGACTTCCACTGTGTTCCCTTTTATACTTGGAGATTTTGAGCCATTCACATTTGTTGATTATTTGGAAATGTAAATCAAAAGCCCTGAGTACCACAGCTTTTTCATGTTTTTTTTTTTTCCTTGACCATATAACCAATTTGTTTCTAGATTTTTAAATTAAACTCAGTTTTTAAAATTCATGTGTGTGAAAGGTAATATAATATTTGCCATGGTTTGCTTGTTTTTTTAATCAAACAATCCAGAAGAGAAAACAATAAAAATGAAGTCTCTCTTCCATTCCTGAACCCCAGTCTCCCGTCCCGGGCCCCTCCTGCAAGACAGCTCCTACTGCTGGTTTCTTGGAATTTTTTTTTTCTTTTCAGCTTTATTGAGATATAATTGACATGTAGCACTGATACGTGTAAGGCATACAGCATAATGACTTACACATATTGGGAAGTGATTGCCCCAATAAGTTTCGTTAATATCCATCATCTCATAGACACACACAAAGAAAGAGGAAAAAAACTAGGTTTTTTCCTTGTGATAAGAACTCATAGGATCTGCTCCCTGGTTTCTTGGAATTCATTCTGCTCTCCCCCCTCACCCAGGGCGTGTGCCGATCCCGAGCTTGGATCAGCCCCTCTTCTCTTGTTTGTCCTACCAAAACTCTATCCGAAAATAAGAATCTAATTTTAGTGATGAGGCCTTTGGTGGGTCTTTTTGGAGACATCATATAGGATTGAAATAAATCCCGATTCAAATTATAGCTCACGGAGCCCTTGTTCCCTGCCCTGTAGTTACTATGCTCCCCCTTAATGACAGTTCATCACTCAGCAGTTCAAATATCCAGGGCCTTTGTGGTTTTGAAATGTAGCTTTAATTTGATCCCCGGGAGTTGAGAACAGATGATCATTCATAGACAGGCCCTGTGTTTGCTGCACCTGCACCCGTGTGAAGTGTCAATACTTCTCCTGTAAGCGTCACTCACTGCGTTAGGGAAATGGCCACGGAAAGAGGCCGGCCTTTTGGAGACCATGTCCTGGGAGACACTCAGCTCAGGACGGTTCTTTTTTTTTTTTTTTGCGGTACGCAGGCCTCTCACTGTTGGGGCC